GGCAGCCAGTTTGCACCCAAACTATGCAGATACTTTTATTTCCCCCTCTGCCCTTAAAGTGTACCTCATTCTGTTTTCATTGTGCTGATAGCAGTGCTGGCCCTGCTAAAATTGGAAAGTCACTTAACTCTTCAGAACAAGTTTAGATCATAGAGCCTAAAATGACAGTTGCTTTTCTTGTTGCTTTGGCTATGTGCCACATCAGGTTTACGCTTTGTCATGCTGGGTGAGGGAATGTTGGAGTATGCTGTGGGAAACATTTCTAGGACAGATGCAATGTAAACTTATATTTGCTAAGGTTTCCACTTGTTGGTTTTGTTAGAAGCATTGAAAGTTTGAAAAGCTGAATTGCTCTCACTTTCAGTAGTGACAAATTATGCCTTAGTATTATTGGTTTTGTTTACTGTTGATGCTTAGATTCTATAGCATCTAAGCAGCATCTCCTGCAGAGAGTGTAGGTATTGACTGTCATGTACCTCTAATTCTAGCCCAGCACTTTGATCACCACACTTTCTTAAAGGCTAGTATGTCTTGTTACATTCTTGAAGACCTACTATGTATTATAGTGTCATGTCAAAAGTCTTAAGACAAGTCCATTCTGTAATCTCATGACATAAGGTGTGAAGACAGCATAAATATGTATGGACTGGTAAGGTCACAGTATAATTTGGGTGTCATGTAGCCCATACTGAACCAGCCTCCTTAGCTCACTTCTTGGGACACAACAGAGTGTGGAGTTTGTGCAATGCTAGTTGTGGTTTGTCAGAATATCTCTTACTTCATCCATAGCTTACTTATGTAACACTGGAAGAGTAAGCAGATGTATTTTTTGTATTAACTTTTTTCCACAAGCTGACAATACTAAAATGATGAAGTGGATTTAAAGATAAATTGACATAAGGCACGGTTTGCTCTAGAAGACCACATATCATTTCATGTAATGAATAAGGATTTTGTGCAATTCACTTAAAGTCTGCGTAAGCAAAATAAAAACAAATTGAGTGGGGGTTAAGTATGAACTATTGCACGATTCCATCATAAATCAAGTTTAACTGAGGAAGAAGAGAATTAACTTCATATAGTAGTTGCACAAGCATGTTATTTGTTCTGTTTTGTTCAGGTAGGTGTAGGTTATGTCACACAACCAGTTATTTGTACATAGATAATCTCATCTGTCACCTTTTATTCCCCAAATTTATCCATAGTGCAACTTTTCAAATCTTATCCTTTCTCTCCATTTCTATTGGAAAAAAAAGTAGAAATGGAGGTCTTATCCCTCATTTTTCAAGGCTTTGTATAGCTTGAGGCTTAAGTTCAAGTAGAGCCCTGAATAACCAAGGTACTATTATGAACAATTATACTGAGAAAAAGAGCACCTTGCAAGCCTTCACCAAAGCTATGTCTACAAAGTAAGCCAGTTAAAAATCTGCATTAATATCTGTATGTAACAGACAGTGGACGTTTTTAGTATGCAGTGGCAGAAAACTGATTACTAGTGCTTTAGGTGTCATAATGCTGTATGAACATTAGGTCTTCATTATTAAAGCTAATCCCTTTTTTTACTTTTCAAAATGAAGCGGCTTGATTTTTAAAAATAAATCAAGTTGTTCTTTCATCCATTTGTGAGAGTATTTGGGTTCTTCGCCTGTATGATGGATGTAATAATTAATAGGAATTTTGTAAAGAATTATTAATTTGTTGGTCAGAGCTCTTGGATGAGAAGGCTTTTTGTTTTGTCCTGTGTAGCTTTTAACTAAGAACTTGATTCCATTTGTTCTGCACCAACAACTGCTTTCCATTTGTTTTGCCTCAAATAGTGTTACTTCCCTCTGCCTTTTCAAACTGTCATGACAAGTTTTCCATTATGTTTATTTAAGTTTATTTCTCTTAGAGTGTGAATATAGAGAAGCTTCAGGGGACATCCATCAACATATCTACTGAAGATGGGCTGCTGAAAACTAAGTATCTCTATGCAGAATCATCATCTTTGTCTTCAGTGGCTGGTGATATTCTGCTGGGAAGTATTCATGGTAAGAAGGAAATACTGGCACATGGTTAAGGAAACACGGTCACAAATTTTGCTGCTTTGAAGGTATTCATAATGTTCACAGTAACAAATGGGCTCATGCTATACGCTGTCACTAAATCAACTGTGCACAGTATGTGAACAAAACCGTTCTGTATTTGTTAGAGACTGAATTGATGAGAATTAACTTACCATATAGCATACTGTATTTTTAAAAAGAATTTTATAAGCACACTTGTGAAATAACAGAAAGTGCGTATTATAGGAAAGAAATGTATCACGCATCCTAAGCATGTAAAAATATTTCAAAATCCAGCAATGAAAATTATGCTAAAAATAGTAAAGGGGCTTCTCTTCCACTTTCTCATTCTTTAATTTTCTTCATAAGAGAAGTTGACTCTTAACAGCATCTACTAAGGACTATAGTAGAACTTGGAGGTATTTTGAAGTTTTTAGTAGAAATGGTCTTTGTGTGTGCTGACACACTATACTAACAGAGTGGGGACACTTTCTGTTCTTTGATTGGGGAAAAAAAAAATCTCTAATCCATCCACCATTTACTGTCCTTCACCTAGAACTAAAACTAATTAACTTGAGTGTCCTTATATAAACAGTGGTCAGGGTTGGAATCTGGTGTGGTTTTCTAATTTAACAAAATTCCTACTGAATTCTGACTGGGCTGTAATGTGTTTGGTGATTTAACATTAACTAAAGCAAAGTGGAGGATATACAAAGAATGAAAATTACTCGAGTCAGTGTTCCAGATTTCCACCTATATGCCTTATAAGCAATTTGCTGCAATTTCTTAGCAATTCTGTGCTGTCATCTTGTTTGAGAAATGACTCTTGCTTCTTCCTTAAAGGAGCAAGTCCTTTGTTCATTTATAGTAAATTTAAGACTGGTTTCTAAACCTGTTAGGTAAAGTTTTCTCTTCAGCATGCGTAGGTGGTAATCAGACTTTCTTCTTGTATTTTTCTAACATATAGACTGTATTGTTCCTGGTACTTCTGTCTGACAAGCTGGTTTGTTTTGGTTAGGTTTTTTCCTAACTTCAAACCAATAAAATGATACTGTGGAATGATCAGCTTGTGAGCATGTTCGTGCCTCTGTGCACATCTAAAAGTTTATTTTTGTTTTCTTGGAGCAAAAATGAAATAACTGCTGATGTTAGTGACTCCCTTAGTAATGCCTCATTGTCATTTAGCTGAAGAACAATGTGAAAACAAATAGAATTGTAGCAAAATTATACAGACATTTCTTATGTTATGTCAGGATTATTTTCATGAGCTCTCTACTAAGTGGGTCTGGAACACCTCTAACATTATTTTAGCTGTTTCTTTTAAAAACAATTGCACATTAACATTTGCTTGACCTTCTAGTCTGTTTTTTTTTTCAGAAAAATATTTTCTGCAAAATATCATGCCCCTCAATCATGTTTTAATAACAAGCAAATACTTTTAAAGTCTTTTAAATTATTATATTGCATATATATACATACATATTTATAAGTGGAAAAGATAAACTCAGATTATAATTTTGTAAAAAAAGAATTGGTCACTTTCCCTTCTAGTCGCTCTCCCTTTCTTTGCTCATGAGGTAGCTCAATTTTAGTAGTAGTACTGTTTGTAAACACTTGGACAGATTGTTTCTTGGGCAATCAAGCCCACTATTTCCCTATAGCTGACAGTATGCTGATATTATAGTTGGCATAAAATTAGCACACGTGCACAAAACTGAATGAGACTTCATTGCTTTTGCACCAAGAACTTTGAAGTCAGAGCAACACAAACTTTACAAATCTGCCTGAGACCCATTTTGTAGTTGAAACTTGGGCTGTACAATTCCAGCACTGTCAGTGCCCAAGTTTGAGTGCAAATTTGGCTCAGGAAGGGCCTGAATGGAATTAAAATTGGGACCTGGAAGGCTAAAACTGACTCTGTGTAGAAACACTGTAGTGATTCTGTATTGCAGACCTTAAGCAATCCCATAACAGTGATACAGTCTTCTATATTCTTGCTGTCCAATGCCTCAGATTATGGAGGCATGAGCATATAATCAGAAGTGAAATTTTCTTTGTCACAAAAAAAGACCAAAAAAACCCTCACCAACAAGATATAAGAAAACTACAAACAAAAGATTGGCTGAGTCCTTTATTTTTAAAGAAAGTTGAATGCATATTCTGTGCACCATGTATTTAATGTTGTTGAGACTATTTTTTTGTTACAGAACAAAAATTACTATCATGGTTTTTTATAGAATGCCTGTATCACTGTCAGCAGGATGAATACAAATGGTAGTTTGAACATTTGATTTTTATTTTGAGTTTAGCTCTCTTTTTACTGTCGGCTAGGTTTTACTCCTTTCAGTGCGTAATTCTTGTGTTTGTACTTCAGTAATTTAAATCCTAAATTCTATTGACTTTTTAAGGTATCTTTCTTAAGCATTTTCCTATTTAAAATGACTGTCTCTGAAAAGGTGTAAATTGTACTCGCTACAGGGAATTTGAGTAATGATGCTGTCTTAAAAGAACAAAATGGCTTACATTTTGCAGGCACCTTTTAATGTAAAATCTAAGTAATTCATACATCTAATAAGATGGCTAGATTGAAATGTCCAGAAATGGGCTGTTTCTAGTGTATGTATCTGAAGTCACTAAAATATTTAAGATCCCTGTAGAATGGAGGATTAACATATTTATGGAAATATCGGTGAGTACACATATGCTTTTCTGTAGTCCAACCCACAGCTGAAGGGAAAGGGGGTAAATGGCCTCTCAATCTAATCAGTCTTGCAAAGGAAAAAAAAGTAAAGGTAAGAAAATATGCATGTAGGCATTCTTAATTGCTCTTTTGTATGCTTCATAGCTTTACAGCAAATGAATAATACATTATTTTGAAGAAATTGTGTTTGAATAATTTTAATCAGTTTCTGTATCTGGTGTTACAGATGTCAGGTGCCACTGAGGTTTCTAGTTTGCCTAGTAATTATCTCTAGTCACATCTTTCTCTCTTTGCTTTTGACATGTCCAAAAAAAATACTTGGCTAGCTTAAAAATTGTACATTAAGTGTTGGCTTCCATGGAACAATTACATGGCCAAAAGTACAATTCTGTGCACTGTCTGTAGGCAGTGCAGGTCACAACACATCAGGACATTCCTATCTGTTTTAAAAGCAACTTCTGTTCTAGTTCAACGTTTGTAGTGAGCCTATCACACTAAAATGTTTGCATTACACAACATTATTCATATCTACCATATAAGTTTGTGGCTAATAGGAGTTTGATTTCTAAATGTTTACTATTTTTTATTTAAGGACCTGTTTATCAAAACAGAAAACAAAAAACCTCAGAAAAATGAAAGAACAGACCAGCAAATCCCAGGGTCTATGTTCAGACAGAGTATAATCTAGCTTTAGCTCCATGGGAGTTGCTAGCTGACAAAACCCTAGGCTTTTTTGTAGGTTCTACAAAAATAAGTACTAGTCACAATAAAATGGGGAAAAGGGTAGAATAATTACAGTGTGCCTTTTAAAAACAGCAAACAGTAAAGCCAAATGTCTTTGAAGTTCATTGAAATATGGTTTTGTTTCGACTGATTTTCAGAACCCCTAAGTATTTTGTACAGTATGTGCTTGAAATGATGAATTTAAGACTATTGATTATAGGCTTTGTTTCTAGCTTTTAGCCCATGGACTGCTAAGAAAAACACTACAGGTCATATACAGTGGAATGCATGCTACCCTAATGGCTGTTCACTACCATGTAATTACAGAAGATGAGAGCTGAGCTTGATCCATTTGCAGATTTTAAAGGCCTCTTCTAAAAGATCTGAAAATTGTTGTGAATACTGTGTATTACTAAATTACTGTGATCAACCTTATTTTTCAATCTGTTATCCTCCTGGGAGGAATGACATGTCATAGTTCAGTTTTTTAATTTAAAGCATTTTTGAGGAGGCAATTATATATGTGTAACATATATGGAAGTTAGACTGTTAGCAGCATAGATGGCTTTTCTGTTATGAGGTACCTCTGTCCTTCTTCCAGATTCTTTTGCTACCATAGGTAAAGGGGAAGAGTATGTATTTTGAGACTTAAGGATAAAACACGAGTGCCTGTTCAAAGTAATGCAAGGTCAGTAATGTAACGTCAGTAGGAGACCATTTGACATTTTATGCCTTATACACTGCCTGATGGTCTCCAGTTTGCCCAACACACTCAGACCTTGCTGAATCCAATGAAAAATATTGACAATGGGTCATCATGCACATAAGAATAAGCTTGGAGGGACAAGGTAACATTCAGTGATTCTTTAGATGATTGTCAAGGAAGTGGCCTTTGAGCATAAAGCAAAAAATCCCCCCCAGAGGGAAAGGGGCATGTGTGTATGTATATAAAAAAAGGAAAATAGAAACAGGTTTTTTTACTCATCCTATTGAACTATTTAAATTATCCATAGTGCTGTTGCAGGCATCAGAGCAATTAAAAAAATTGGCCCAAAATAAAACAAGAAAATATCGTGCTTTAGCCTCACAATGCCTCTCTGCTTTTTGCTCCCTCACATCTGGTCTGTGCCTTTAAGCTTTACTTGGAGTGGCATTTTTTGTCTGGAATCACTTCATTGTTACCCAGATGTGTTGAGATTTTTGTTTGTAAAGCAATGATATTCAAGCAATATAACTGGTTTATGCTACTTTGCTTTTATATGCAAATCAGATATACTACTACAACTATAATGCTCTTGTATGGGATTACATTACTTTAGTCTTTGTTATGATTTCAGAAATTACTTAAATAATATGCTTTTAACATTTTTTTTCCCCCTTTTCTTTTCCTAATAGGTAACACCAGCCTTCAGACCAAAACAGGGAGTATCACAGTAGGTAGGTTCTACCTTCTCTCTGGGATATGTCTTTTCCCACTCTTTGCTTCTCCTTTCTAAAAGCTAAATATTCACAGGGAGAGTAAAAAGGAAGTGATTCCTCACAGACGTTTCTACCATCTGTTCTTTTCAGTAGTATTGATAGCTGTGTAGCTAAAGGAGATCCTTTCCAAACTTGACTGTCTAGCTTTTGATACTGTAATACCCGCTGGGCTTTGCACAAGTTAGACTGAGTCTAGGTGCCATCTTTCAGGTTGCAATGAGATAAAAGGACATGAGAAAATACTAAGTGTGCATCAAATGCAATTATTTTGCTTTAACCTAGTTCTCTGTTACATTTGTTGATATCAATGATTAGCTATGTTTAATTTTTATATCACAAAGCATTAAAAAGTTGATGTCTTGCATATTGGGGGGGAAGGCTGATGATAATTTAAATGTTTCCAGCCATTATGTTAATCATTGTTTTCCCTTCAGAAAGAAAAACAACTCATAAATTTTTGTTCAGGAACTTATGCAGTTGTATAAATGCTCAACTTGGAGATATTGATTGTGGTATACATTATAGCAGTTGTGCTATTCTAGGAAAATATTAGGGCCCTTATTTGACTATTTCATAGTACATCAACACAGAAGTAAGAAACTCAAATTCTGCATATTTCTATGGCAGAAAAATTGAAGTAACAGAATCCTAGACAAGGCTCAGTGTCTCTTGAATGTACGTAGAAGGATTCCCCCTTCTGTAAATAAACTTGGTTACAGGCCCAAATCTCAAAGACTTCTGCTAATGGTAGTAACCATAGTCACTCAATAAGCATTGTTCAGGGACGAGCTGTACTGTTACAACTCTTCTTATGTTTCTGAGCAATCTATATTAACATTCCTGGAAAATGAGTGCAATACACATTCTTATGAGTTAGTCATTAAACCACAGAATTAAGTTAAGCTTGCTAGTCTGATTTTCCTTCTGCTAAATAAACTCTCAGAATATGAAGAGTGTTTAAATAAAGGTTTTAACACAGGAGGTAGCTTTTTCCATCAACAGATGATGATGATTTTCCTTAATTAACCAGATTCAGCTTAAACATTAAGACACATCTTACAGTTGAATAAACTTTATTTTTCAGACTTCAGTTTTGAAAGCACTAGTTAGATTTAATCTTTTCCTAAAGAGCATTAAACATTCTTTAGATGTTCATGGATTTTTCCAAAGGCAATTGACTTTTAAAATTCAGTGGTTCAACTCTAAAAACTTAAAGAAAGAAAATGTAAAATTTTAAGTGAAAGGTTTTTGTGTATGAGAAATTTGTGCCACGAGATATCTTGTTGGATTGCCAGAGACCTGACAGGGATTTGCTGATAGAAATAGGAAGAACAGCTCAGGTCTTCCAACTTCCTTGGCTGAGTTTTCATAGGGATGCAACTTATTTCACTGGAGGCAGAATTTTATCAGTTAACTGAAAAAATGCACTCATCTCTAGGTTTTGGGGATGTATCCCTACCTTTTGAGAGTTTTAAAAAGTCAAACTATAACATAGTTGAGAGTGCTGGAGGTTTTTTCAAAATATTTTTTAAAATACAATTTACTATTGTCAGTCTTATTCTTATATAATTCTGCATTAAAACAGGAAACTAATGCTGCTGTCTCTCACTCTCTTTAATTTTCTGCTTTTTAAGATTATTTATAGAATAGCGGGGGTTTTTGTTTTGCTATTACTTGTTTGTGTAAGTATTTTTATTTTTTGAAAACTATCCAAAATTCAGTCCAATTTTAAGTATCTGGCATACGTCAGTGTTTCACACTGACATTGTTAGAATATGAAAGTAGGAATTACTCCTTTTTTTTTCTATACTGTGAGCTTTGTTATTCACTGACAAATTGTTTTCCAACCCTATCCTAGAAGCTTCCTACTTCTAACAAATGTTCTATGGATTTTGAATGGCTTCTTAATTTAAAGCAACCAGACCTATTTTTACTTCCAGTTTAAGTTACTACTTAAAATAGTCATTAGAAATCTGAATAATCTTACAAAAAGCAATGGAGTACTTTGTTTTTAGAACTAGCTTAAGCTTTTAAATTTTTGTTCGGTAAATTCATAGGAAAACTCAGATTGGAAGAGAACTCAGGAAGTTGCAGAATCATAGAATGGTTGAAGTTGGAAGGGACTTCTGGAGGTCATCTTGTCCAGCTCCCCTGCTCAAGCAGTCTCTAGTCTCCAACCTCCTGCTCAAAGCCATGCCAACTGTGAGGTTGCTCAGGGCTTTATCCTGGGGTCTTGAAAACCTCCAAGGAAACAGACTGTACAGCCTCTCTGGGCAAACTGTTCTACTGCTTGACTGTCCTCAGGGTGAAAAAGATTTTCCTTCTATCCACACTGAAACTCTTTTTTTTCAACTTGTGTCTCTCCTATCGTGCTTTCATCATGCACCACTCTGAGGAGCCTGGCTTTGTCGTCTTGATCATCTCGCAGATACTAGGAGGCTGCTGTCAGGTCCTGAAGCAGTCTGTTCTCCAGGCTGAGCAAGCTTTAGACCCTCGGCCTCTCCTGATGGGGAAGGTGTTCCATACCCTGACTATCTTGGTGCTTCTCTGCTGAATTCACTCCAGTTTATTGATGTCTCCCTTCTCTTAGGAGCCCCAACGCTGGGTGCTGTATTCTAGGTGTGGTCTTACAAGTACAGAGTAGAGGGAGATAATCTTCCCTTGATACACTGGCCATGTTCCAGTTAATACTGCCAAGGATACTCTTGGACTTCTTTTCTGCCAGGGCACGCTGCTGGCTCATGTTCAGTCCTGCTAGAATTTGCTTATTTCTCAATGTTATCGGTATGGTGTGATTATGTATTCTCTATTCTGCTGCCAAGCCAAATTTTCCCCTACCATCTCAAAAAAATTGTTCTTCCTTACTGGGATTACTTACACTTAATGCAATTATGCACTGAAGAATCTTCTGTGTTTGGTATAGCCTGAAATTATAAAGCTTATGGTGGTTCTTTTGTTTCAAAGAGAAGGAAACAACCTTAACCAGTTTATGGGCAGCAGGGACTTATTCTGGCAAGGAAAACTCTGAGTTCCAATAAACTCTTCTTTTTTTTGTTTTTGGGTGTTTTTACGTTTTTGTAAATACACCTCTGTCAGCTTGCCTTACTCTGCTAATTCTTCCTTCAGTAATCCACACTAGATGACCTAAAGGCTTCAGTGACTTGCTGTGATGTCCACTGTCTTACATTGACTGAAACCTAACAATTGAGAACACTTAAACTTTCTCAAACATAAACTTTAGTATAGTTCTGACATGAAAGTGAACTGAGGTGCCTGAGCTCCTCTATTGTGATGAGTGTGTCATCATAAGGCAATTTCCTAGCACTGAGACAAAACACTAGTTTTATTTCAAGAAGGGAATCAGTTATAGAAAATTATTATGGTATTTAAGACAGTTTTGGATAAATGAAAAATAAAACAATAAACTTAGTGTATTTAGAAGTAATGCTGCATCTGTGAATTTTGTCTTGAGGGTTCAATTTTTAATATGTGATCTAGGGAATTTTTAAATTAAAAACCTAATTTCTGAATCGGAGGCATTTACTGTACTTCATAAAGTACAGCTTTTAAGTACATTAAAAAAATACCCACGCACACACTTGTCTCTTAATAGCAATTAATTGTATTGATACAGTCTTTGCTATCTGTTTGAAGTATGTTAATGTTCTGGTTCTCATTTTAAGTGTCCTTCATCTTCCAACCTTGTATGTCAGAACTTGACCTTCTGTGTTCTGCTGATGACAAACCTGTCATGTTTTTTCCCATTGTTTCCATGCTTTCTTCCACAGCATCCTATATTAAGGGTGCTGCTCTCCAGGCAGGTTGGAATCAGCTGCTTTTTCTTATCCCTCAAGTGTAAGGTTATGGAAAAAATGAAAGTGTAAAAAAAAAAAAAATAGTCCACTATGACTTAATATCTACTTAGTTACTACTTGGTTTTATCATCAGTCTTTGTTTACATGTTCCGTTTCCTTCTCTTTGTGTCCTTTTGAAGGTAGATTGTATAGTGTTCTGGACAGAGCTTATGTCTTGGAGGAACTACTTAAAATTGGTGCATATAGAAAAAGTAGCTGCTTCCTGAGAACAATAGGGTTTTCCTTGCAGCTTAAAAGTAAGCTTTTTTACTTCTGTACATGTTCTATTAGTAATTAACAGTTTTGGTGATGTTACATCAAGTATGCTTTATAGCATCTAATGTAATGGCACTGAAGATTCTGGATGTTACATTAGTACTTAAGTTTATATTGGGTTTTGAGCAATATTTTTTTTTTCTCTTGATAAGATATACATTCTACAAGTATAAAATATATATCTTGCTATAGTTATCAATATGTATTTGTTTGTAGCAGAAAAATTAAGGACTCGCCACCCGTTTCATCCACAAATGGTTACTTCTGTTCTAATACAGAACTAACTGGTCTACATTCCAGACAGTAGAAATATAACTAGGCATCCAAGTATGATCCAATCCTAATAACTTCTAACAGGCAGTATTTTCCTACAGATATGATGTCTGAAAGTCTTTTATAGGATGCCACAAGTGGAAAAATAATTGATTTTTCTGAAAAATTGTTTGCTTCCCTCACTAGTTGAGGTGCATGAAGTCTCTTGATAATTGAATCCAAAATGCTCTTATGTTGCCTTAAGTAATACCACTGTTATTAAATATACATTAGGTATGTTCTAGGGAATGCAGTATCCTACAAATATCAAGCTTGTTCATTATATTTCACACATACATTTCCCACGTATGCCACTCAATCTACAAAAACCTGGCTAATGAAGATAGAATTTCCATAGATTTACATCAACAGAACAAATCTGAAAGTCTGAATCTATGCAGAGCTAGACTAATATATTCTTCTGTCTTGGAAAGAAGCAGCTATGATATCAAAGAACTGCATGTCTCTTACACATATTAAAATACAGGGCTGTATTTAGTATTGCAGAATACTATT